AGCGAGCCGTGATGGGGGCGAGCGAAGCGAGCCCCCCCATCGGCCCCCCCCGGCTGGTGAGGGGGCCTCGCCGGAGGCGCCGCCGGAGGCAGAAAATTTGGTGCATTTTCCTTTCATTTCCCGTCAAAATGGGCCCAAATGCGGCATCAAAAAGGGCTTGACTTCAGCTGCAAACATCGCACGGAATGTAGAAAAAAAAAAAAAAGATTAAGATTGATGTATTGTCGCGTATCCTCAGCAGTACCCTCCTTCGGTCTCTCCCTGTGTCTACTTCCCGGTTGGTTCTGGACATGGTGCTGTTGTCTGCTGTTTCTGCGCTGCTGTGCTGTGTGTGTGTGGCGTACAGGGGCTCCGTACTGCTGCGCATACCCTAAATTTGATTCACGGAGCCCCTAAGAAAACATCGGTCGGAACATCGGCACGAATTTTCGATACCGATATCGATATATATCGGACGATATATATCGTGTACATCGTTCCGATTCACAACTCTACTTGAATCCCGTTCGTCTTGATACTTTCAGCAGCAACATGAATGCACAAGAATGATTGATCAGGTTGGGACTACCGGCTTCCCGAGGCGCTTCATTTTTCCGCCCTCAGCGCAATGCTGCATGGGTTTTACAAGCGGACATCAACGCAGTAGTATTTTAGCAAGCTTACGAACGCATATAGGATACCATCAGGATTGTCATTGGTTTTATTTCAAGTTGAAGAGGAGATATTTATACGAAGTAAGTGACAGTAGAAATAAGTCCTACATATGTTGTTGTACTTCGTATTGGTTTAATATCCATGTAGAGTATGAGACATTACGTGAAAGTTTTCTGAGGTACATCTGCAATTGTCGGAAGGCAAAAATAAATAAATAAATAATATATTTCAGGCGATTGTAGAGGCGCCAACTTTCGCAGACGTCCGTTCTGTGGGCCGAACTTTGCATCCATAAGTCGAACAATCTCCTGTGCTCTGGTGTGGGTCTGCACAAATATCTAGGACAATCTACACACGGCGAACCCCGCCATCACACGTCGTTTCAAGGCCTATGCTTGTATTCGTCAAACAAGTTGTTGGGGATAGAGCCCAAATAAACGCGAGGCTTGTCCCCCCTCGCGTCTCCTGACACAGCAACACCAGGCGAACCTACGGATGCACCATGGCTACCAGACCAAGGCTTGCGCGATCGCGGGAGCTCTTCAACACCTACTCGTTTCTTCGCCTGGCCACCGACAACTTTGTCGTCGTCGTTTTTCTTGGGGCCGTGTTTGGTGCCCTCAAACACTTTCCCCAGAATAAAATCTACGGTTTTCAGGGCTGAAACGTCCCCCACATCCAGGATGATTTCCTTCAACTCTTGCAGTTCTGAAGTGATGCTCGCGCGATATGACGAAACATCCGCTTCTTCCTTGCTCGTGGTGACTCCTTTCAACAACTGAAGAACAATGCGCTTCACGTCAGCCCAGTGTTACCCTGAAAGAATAGCAAGAACGTTGTTTTCGCCTGCGGCTGAACGCATTTCAATTGCTCAACCATAGCCCGACAGACCGGTCTCCACTTTTGGTGGGTTTTAGTAACAGCAGCCAAGAATCGCATCGGCGAGATAACACAAGTTATATACGGTATCATACACGTCACACACGCATGGCGACACCCTGGGTCGAGCGCTACAGTCCATCGAGACTCGTGGATGTCAGCGGGAATGAACATGTTGTTGATGCCCTTCGTTCGTATTAATCGATTGACAACATGCCACACCTCCTTCTCCACGGACCACCGGGCTCTGGGAAGATTTCAGCCATACTAGCGATTGCTCGGCAATGTTATGGTGGAACAGTACTTACTGTCCTCAATGGTACTCGAGCTTAACGCGAGCGATGTTCAAGGCGTGGGCACCATGCGAAACCAGATTCAATCATTCGCAAAGTGCTTATCTGTCACCGATCCAGCAGCAGTAAAATTGGTTGTTCTCGATGAAGCACACAGCCTCGCGAACCTTTCACAGTGTGCTCTCAGGCATTTGATCCATCGGTCGACAATCTTGTTCGAAGTCTTGTCTTTGCTGTAACTACGTCAACAAACTGCCATACGGCGTTCAGATTTTCAGGAATTCCAAAGAAAAAAATAAGAGGCGCTCACCTCGAATCTCCGTGCAGAGTCCAAGGGTAAAGGGAACCCAAACCAATATTCCCGTGAAAAGGCGCTCTGATGCGGACCTCTCTGTACCTGTTTATTGTGTCACAGCACTTCTGTGTAGGCAGGTATCCGGAACACGTATTTTCGAACTAACTGCTGTGGCTTTTTCGGTGACGCGCCCCTTTTATTTCGTGATTTTTGGTTGTGTGCGTACGTTCATGGAGGGTTTGGAGTCGTGAGAAAAATGGCACCAGATTTTGAGCAATGCACTTGCCAAGGCTGCATTTGCAAAGAGTGCAAACAGTGATCGGATACGTGAAACTTGGTCATGTTTTAGCCGCGGTTTGACCTTCCACTTTATTTTCCCTAAGATTCAGCCCCCTCTCTCTTGTAACGCTCCCATTTTCCCGCCCTTCTTCGCTCTCTCCTTCTCACACGCCGCGTCTTTTCGCTCCTCATGACAAAACACTCAGTATGTTCGACAGCGCGACTGTCCCTTTTTCGGCGCGGCTTGATCGGGCGCTTGGGTCCGCTATACTGATCGACAGAGCTCCTTGTGCGTTTCCGGGGGGGGGACATATCTTGTGTGGTGAAGTTTCCATTATTTCAAAGGTCTGGTTCATATTCCACCCTTATTTACTTATTCATTTTTGCCTTCCGACAATAATTAATTGCAGATGTACCTCAGAAAACTTTCACTTAATGTCTCATACTCTACATGAATATTAAACCGATACGAAGTACAACAACTGTCAGGAAAATCGTGCGTCGAGACCACCAGTAGTCGGACACGGTTTGACCTTTGAATACGATTGCAGCAACTAGTCTGCGTAGCAGTAGAAAAGTATCCATCTCTCCTTGGCATGTATTCTCTTGCTCTAGAAATATTCCGGAAGCATACTAGGTCAAGGTTGACCGGGACATCTATGTAGAACGTGTGTAGCTTCTGGAAGCCTTCTGGAAACTTCTGGTTCCTCCTGTAGCCTCTGGAAGTCTTTCTGGAAACTTCTGGTTCCTTCTGTAAGCTTCTGGAAGCGTTCGAGATCTAGGTTGCAGTTGATACTCTTCTAGAACGTAGGAGGGCTTCCAGAAATCATTCTGGACGCATTCTGGATCTTTCGTGTGATTGGCTTATTTGTCCGGTATTCGAGAAGAGTGGTGCAGCCCTAAGCTCGCCCACTCCTCTCACTCCTCTTCAGTACCAGCAACATCTGACTCGGGAGTCAGCAACTAATAAAAGCATCTTCATATTTCCATTCCAAGTCTCTCGCGGTTGGAGACGCACAGAGTGTGAACCTCTGAGGTAGGCTACACAGCCTCCTGGCATCTGCAGCATCGTACTGCTGCTAGTG